TTTGGGGTTCTGTCAGAGCGCGTAAGGACCCTTGAGGGTGCAGTGGTGGGTTTGGGGTTCTGTCAGAGCGCGTAAGGACCCTTGAGGGTGCAGTGTGTAAAGTACTCCATTATGAACCAAAAGGTCGATTGTTGGAAGCCACCAACTGCTCCTCGGGAAGCCGAGGCAGTCTGCTTCCTTAAAGAGGGATGGCCACGGAAAGCCCACGGGGCAGCACTACACTGTCCTAGAGAGACCCTGTGAGTTGGGATGAGCGTGACGGCCATGGGTCCTTGTTTCTTTTTGGTTTGGTCTCAGAACGCACCTGCCCATTTTCCCAAGCCAGATGAGCTCAGTGAGCTCCCAGCAAGCCCAAGGGCAACAGACCCCCCAGCCAAGCCTGCCAGTGCCACCTGCACCTGGGGAACTCAGAGACACGCTGCTGCTGCTGGAGCTCGGGGGCTTTTGCAAGGTGCTATGGCAGAGAGAGAGCCTGTGACCCAGCTCATCCCATCGGGGCCAGGGTGCTGCAGGAGGTTGCCCCAGGAGCGTCCCACCCTGCCCTGGGACAAACAAATAGATGGGGACAGTGGGAAAACAGCTGTACCTTTAAATGCTGTGGCCCACATGTGGAAGCTGTTTGCATGTCTGGTTATTTTTAGGGTGAACCCAGTCGAACCGGATGAAGTCCCAGAGGCACGTAGCCCTTTTTCCAGCCGGGGGTCCTGGTCCCAGGTCCCTGGGAACAAGGGCTCCGGCTCAGGTCCCGGGAGGCAAAGCCAGCAGGGCCCTCCCTGGCCAGGGCTGAACTCCAGCACGGCGGGAGGTACTTGAGTGTTGGGACAGTGTAGAGCCACTTGGAATTTTAGGAAGATGTGCCCCTGCTGGCATGGCCGCTCCCACCTGGATCCAGCGAAAGACCCCACCCCTACCCCCTCAGAGCATGGTCCCACAGACGGATGATGAGCTGACAGATTTCTTAAAGCAGCAGCAATTAGAGAGGATTTCTTCTGCCGCGCCCTCACGCCACAACAGGAATAAACCAGTGGTTCCGATTCCCCAGCTAATGATTTCCTCCATTAAATTAAGCAGCAGCAGGAGAAAATGGTTTTCTAAATGGGTTACTGAGCCCACAAGACCTAATACCTCCTCTCGGCCTGAGAACCACCCCTCCTCTGGCTGGGACTCCCGTCCTCTAGGAACGCTCTGTGATGCTCCTTGTCCCCAGGGCAGTGCCCCCAGGAGAAGGCCACCCACCACCTAGGGTTCTTCAAGATTGGGGCCTCCAACCTCAGGGTGAAGGGTGAAAGCCCTGAGCTGGGGGGATGGGGGGACAAGGGGCCCTACTCCAGGAGAGAGGAGCAAGCCCACAGGGGGAGCTGAGGACCCTGGTCATATTCCCTGCCGACGCCTGGAGATTAACTCCAAATGCCCATTTCAGGGGCCAGGAGTTACACGCCTGGCAGCTGACCAAAAAAGGTCAGCAGTTTGAACATGCCAGTGGCTCCATGAGAGGCAGACATGGCTGTCTGTGTCCATGAAGAGCTATAGCTGCAGAGACCCTATGGGGCAGTTCTGCTCTGTCCTGTGGGGAAGCGAGGCATCAGAATCAACGGCACTGGGTTTGGTTTTATACCCATAATGGACTTCTGACAATCAGAACAATGAGATGAAAAATGTGTGTTGCTTTAAGCCACTTAAATTTTTTAAAAGTGTTCATTCATTCATTCCTCACTCCGAAGACTTGCCCCAGGGCTTAAGCCCTGCTGCGTACCAGGCATCACTTTCCTAGAGCTGGACACACGGTGGGGAGGCAGGCTGATGGACACCCGCCCTTAAAGCAGGCCAATCCCAAGAAGAAAGATGGCTCGCAGTGTGTGTGAGGCCGCAGTCAGTGCTCTTGGAGGGGTCTTGCAGGGGTCAGGGTTTGCTGGGACTGGCGGTTGGGTAGGCCCAGGTCTATCGCCACCCTATAGCCTCTGATAGACAAGTAGCCAGCCACCCCTCCACCTACCACCCACCCCCACTCCTGCATCTGAATTGGCAGGAAGAAGGTTGCACCAGAATTGAGTCTGAATTTCTAAATGGACCCTGACCCATCGCCAGGGAGTGGGCTGTCAGAGTAACTCCAAGTGTGGAAAGGCCCTGAGCCCTGTTCTCATAGCCCAGCCAGGACCCCGGGACCCTGTGTACCTACCTCATCACAGGCTCTTGCTGCCTCATTGGGGGGGTAAGGGGAGGGGCCTCCCACCAGGCAGGCATTCCAGGATGACTAAAGGGGTGCTGGTGGAAACGGCAGGAGCAGGGGTTCTGGAACAGGGGTGTGGGGCCGCAGGGTGAGGAGCGGTGGCACAGCGGGTCAGGGACCTTGGCACTATGGAGGATGCCTCGCCCACTCCCCAGCCATATACCCCGAGAACATGGTCACTTACTCTGCGTCCTCTTGGAGGGCAGCCTGGGGTCTGGCTGCAGGCAAATACCACGGGGTAAGTCAGGGAGCGCGGTAGAAGGAGGATACCAGTGGCCTACCAGGCTGGGTTGGGCATTCTGTGTACACTGGCCCGTTAGCCACATGTGGTTCCTTCTGTGGAACTTTGAGTTAATGACAGTGAAGTGAAACAGGCAGAGCAGAGTCTCCGTGCCACCAGGCACATTGCCAGGGCTTAGCGCCTGCAGGATAGCACTGACCACACAGCAGCGGGTTCTAGCTGACAGCGCTGGTCTCTTCCACACTTGGGTGTGGCATTGCTTCTCTTGGGTCCTCCTGTCCATCCACTGTCTGGGACAGAGCAGGCCGAATGCTAATTGGGTGGCACCCACTGACGTGGGGCCTCTGCCCTGGGCCCTAGGAACCAGACGCCTCCCCTGCGGGGTTACCCAGCAAAGAGCAACACTCTTCATGAAAAGGGGACCCAAAGTGAAACCACACTCCTTGTGGTCAAGTCCAGTCCAATCGTAGGGGTTTCTGAGACTGAATCTTGACGGGAGCCAGCTGCCTCATCTTTCTCCTGAAGAGTTAGTTACTGGTGAGTCTTAATTACCGAACTGGCAGTTAGCAGCCAGACGCTTAACTCGTTGCCTCACCAGGGCGCCTCTGAAAAGGGCAAGGGGAGCATGAGCTACTGAGTCGCTGTGGAGCCTCTGAGACCAGATCCACTAGGCAGGGCTCCAGGGAACAAAAGTGGCCAGGCCAGGAAAGATCCAACACAAGAGCCATCAGAGCTGGCTGGTTATAGATGGTGTTGGTTATAAGTGGCTTCAACCTTGCCGTGCATTTGCACATCTCATGGTAAAATGTAAAGGGCTAGAAAGGACAGCGAGGTGCACGCGGCGAGGTGGTGAGACGGGGGTGAGCAGGGTTCAGGGAGCCAGCCTGTGCAGGCTGCTGTGGGGATGGCGCTGAACTTTCGGGGGGGGGGGGCAGTAGTACCGTGGTGGGGAGAGACTGGGCCCCTCTCGGCCAGTGCCCTGACCTCGCCATGCTCCCCGCCTTACATGCCCTAGGGGTTTCTCCAGCCCCTTTGTGAAGAGGAAGTGATGGGCTGTGTGATCTGTAAGAGGGGAAACTGAGGTGCTGACCCAAGCTTCCTGCAGGGATTGGCAGCTAAGGGAATGGGGAGGAGATGCAGCCAGGAGGGTGGAGGCAGAGCTGGAGGCCCAGCCTAGGCACTGGAGTGAGATCTCTCCATCCCCAGGGGTCAGGTGCCCTCCCCTACCTCCTTCAAGGTGGCCCTGGTCCACCCACACTCTTCCCCAAGTGGATGGACAGTTTCTCATTGCCAGGCGTGGGACTTGGGATGCGGGACTCTGTGTAGGGTTGGGGCACCTGGAGAGTGGAAGAACCTCACCCCACTGCAGGGTCTAGAGCTGCACCCAGGCATGGGAGGGGAGGTGGACCTTGAGCTGTTTGGTCACCTGTGGGTCTCATCAGAGACTCTAAAATAAAGAGACCCAGGGTGGTAGGTGGAGCTCAGGGGCCCAGTGAGACCCATGCTAGGAGGTCTCATCTCCTTGCCCTTACTCTGCCCCCAGACCAGGCTGGCTCCCTGGCCCCCACTCGCCCAGTGCCTTGCCACCCTGGGCCCAGAAGGCT